CATTTAATCATTTAACAAACATTTATTGATCATGGTATGTGCTATGTGCAAAGGTGAATAGGGCAAAGAACTCACAGGAACCTCACTAGCAGGTAGGTTTACTGGAACAAGGGTCCTGGAATTCAGGACAGGGCTCTATTCCAAAAGAGATCCAGAAACCTCATCATGCTTTACCACCATCAAATCTACCAACCCAGCTAGACCAGTACCAGTACCCACAAAGTATGCCTGAGGCCTGCCCTTAAAATTTATGGGATTCAGGGCAAGAATACAAGTGGAAGCCCATATACCATATGTGTAAATAGCAAAAAGTTATAAATTAAGCCAACAAACTGTTAAATCTGTTCTGTCCTACCTTGACAAATACTTTTTTATAAGTACCTAGAAAGCCAGGTTCAAATTTAGAAGTCTCAAATTACCTGGAGTTCCAAGCCAAAATACGGTACAGATAAAGCCAGTCTCCTGCCTGTCTCCTCCTCTTCCCCTCCCACATTCTGTCTTGCATCACCACTCAGCCTGGAGGACATGCAGGCAATATTCCAGGCCCTAGAAATGGGCCTAGGGCTCTGTGGGCAGGAAATTCCAGATTCCAGATACCCAGAGCAGATCCAGAAGTGGGGACACAGTCAGAGAAGGCTAAAGTGGGCCCCCCCTAAGTCCAGGTGCCAGAGCAGGGACCTCACTTGCCTGGGTATAAAGGTGTTATTGTTCTACTTGTTCTATTAAAATACATAAACTGTCCAGGCTCCTAGCTAAGTCCTCTCTTCCACCTGTGCACTAAATCCTTTCAAACTTTGTCTTCTCTACTGGTTCACTTCTTTCAGCATAAAAATAACCTGTTTACTCTCAATTGTTAACAAACGTTCAACTCTCACAACCCCCTTCAGCTACTGTACCATTTCTCTGCTCTCCTTTAGAGCCAAACTACTCTAAAAGCTATCTGTACACTTACTTCATTTCTGTTCTCTCTCCGCCTGTTCTTCCTTGAACTCACTTCATTCAAACTTTTGCCCTGATACCCTGAAACTTTTCTCAAAGTCACCAATGACCTCTGTGTTGGCGAATCCAACAGTCATTCTCAGTCCTGGCTTTATCTGACCTCAACAGTATTTGATGGAGTTGCTCCCTCCATTCTTAAAATACTTTGCTCATCTGGCCTCAGAGCCACACTCTCTCTCTCGGTTTTCCTCAGCTTCTCAGGCTGATCCTTCTCTGTCTCCTTTGCTAGTCCTCTTTACCTCCCTAACTCTAAATGCTGGAGGGCCAAGGGCTTAATCCTCATAACTCTTTTCTATTTAAGCTCAAACCCATGGCTGTAAGTACCATCTATATACCAGAAACTCTAAAATTTTAATCTCTAGCCTCAATCTCTCTCGTAAACTTTGGATTTGTAATATACTACTCTGAACTCATCAATTCCACTAGGCTATCTACCAGCAATCTCAAATGCACTAGAAAACCACACCCTTGATTTTCCCCTCCAGCCTGGTCACCCACAATCTTTCCCATCTTGGCAAATAGCAACTCCCGCTCATCCCTACTTTTTAATCTCCTTTTCCCTGATTTCTAACCCCTCCTCCAGAAACGTTTATGTTCCCTGAAAGCAGGGATTCTGCCTCTTTTATTGCGTATCCTCAGTGCCAAGAACAGTGTCTTTCTGTATATACTAGATATTCAATAAATATTTGGCGAAAAATAATGAATCAGAATTGGATGACCAAAGAACACCAAAAAAGACAAGTGGGTTGAAAACAATAAACAATTCAGTTTATATTTTCACCAAAAGTACAAAGCACAGCAAATTCGAGGATGAAAAGGAAGAAAATCCCAGAGAACTCAGTTCAAAGATAGCAAAACTGAACATTAAGGAAAAAATTATTTTAAAATGAGAACAACATAAGTAGCTCATCAATTGCTTACATAATAATACAGATAGTTATATATTCCTAATTACATTAAACCCTAAAATGAAGTTAACATTTTATTTTAAAACAATCCTTCAAAGATATGCACATAAAATAAGAGGATACTCTTGTCAACTATCGAATTACAAACTTTTTAAAAAGGATAATATACTCAACGCTAGTGATAGTATGCTAAAACAGGAATTTATATACTGCTTATAGGAGTCTTTTTCAACAGCTGTGACTTTTCGAAGTAAATCACCGGGTCTTTCTTCCAAGGTGCCAATCTTTCAGTCAGAAGCCTAGCACTTAACCGTTTGCACTACCTAGGGACAGCCACTGAAAAGTCTATGAACTGCAACCGGCTTGATTTGTTTGATGTAAACGGTACAGTTTCTAGACACCGCATATTGTACTAAGCACCCATATCATATGTTCATTGACATGCTGATGAATATTAATTTGCATCTACAGCTATTACCACTCTCCTGAGGTTCAGATCTACATAAGGAGTACACTTAATTTTTTTTACCTAGACAGCCTACAGACACATCAAATTCAACAGTCCTAAATGAAGTCATCTTCTCCTCTTAGCTCCCACGTCTCCCAGCCCAACCCCTAATATAACCTAAAACTTCCTTTCTTCTCTAGGGTTATCTCAGTAAACAATATCGCTAACTGTCTATCCAGTGACCCAAACCACAGAGTAAGTGTCCATTCTAGCTCTTAACACTCAAGTCTATAGACTTCTCTCCATCTTCATGGCAAAGGAACCATTATCCCACTTGGATGGTAACAGAATCTCTTAACTGGTTTCCCTGCTTCCAGGTGTCTCCCCTCAACTCCCTTACCACTACACACCAATTCATGCACCACTATAGCCAAAGGGAACTTTCTAAAATACAAGTCTGATTATTTCACCTTCCAACTCAAAGGCCTCTAAATGGTTTCCTACTGCAATTAGGAAAAAATGTAAAATTCTTTACAGGGTTTAAGGTCCTGTATGATCTGGCACCTGCTTACCTCTCCAGTTTCATTTTTGTTCAATCTTCACCTTACACTACATGTTCCCGAAGGCTCAACTTACTTCAGTTCCTCCAAAGGGCCCTCTGCATGGATTCCTCTTTTATCTCTGCTCTTCATTACGTTAATTAACGCTTGTCTTTCACTTTTACCATAAATGTCTTTTTCTCTGGAAAACTTTTCCTGATTCCTCAATTCTGGGTTACATGCCCCTCTTATGTACTCCTTTAGCACTCCATCAAGGCACTAATCACAGTGCATTGTAGTTGCTTATTCACGTGTATAATCAACTCTACGAAGCTTGTTTATTCACTTGTATATTCAACAGCTCCGTGAAGGTAAGAACTGTTGCTCACTCACCATTTTATTCACAGGGTCCAGTATAATATGTTCTCAAATATCCAGTGAATAAATGAATACATAAATGAACGAATGAGATCTCTATCTTGTTTTTCAACCAGTAAACAGATTTAACAAAGTTGAAAAACCCAAACCACAGAGATCATAATTTTTGCCATCATTCTGAGAAGGAAAAACGTCATAATCGCAAGTACTATAACAATTCCATCGGCCATACTATTTGCAATGTGTTCCACTGCACAAAAAGCACCGGTCATTAGAAAAGTCCGACCCAATTCTTTGCCATCTTTAGGTGGCATAAGAGGACATCATAAGATGAAAACCAAAGACCAAAGAAACTAGCTTTGTTTTAAACCTAATTCTGAGTATTCTCATCTGGGAGCTTCTCTGGTATTCTCAATATTTAGCTTCCATGAATTCTTCAAGGCCATGCAGAAACCGCCTATTTAACAAAGGCACAAAATTGGTGAGGTAAAATACTGAGGCTAGAAATTTGCATTTTTCAGCCTTGCCACCAAACTTGCTCCTTCCATTTGATTTACCTTCTCCAATGGGAAAAGGGATATACTTGAAACTTACCACATCTTTTTTACTAGAAGAAAAAAAAAAGATTTAAAGAACTGTGAAAAAAGAAAAGAAATGTAACATATGCTTTCTTAAATATTATTTCTACATAAATGAACCTTAAGGGATTATAACAATTACTGAAGGAATTTGCATAATTAAAAGCACCTGTATTGATTCAAGGAGCCCCTGAGAGTTGCAAACGGTTAACCTGATGGGAGGTCGGAGGTTCGAGTCTACCCAAAGGCACCTTGGAAGAAAGGCCTGGCATCTACTTCTGAAAAATTAGTCATTGAAAATCCTATGGAGCACAGTTCTACTCTGACACACGTGAGGCTGACTTGATGGCAAATGGAGTGGCGGTGAATAGTTATTTAAAGTGGGGTTCTTAACTCAATCAACAAATATTCAGTGACTGCCTACTATGTACCTAAAACTGGGCTAGTCACTGGGGATATAACAGTGAACTCAACATACATAATTCCTGTGCTCACAGAGCTTACAGTCTTAGACAAACACACAACCGAACAAAAAACTACACATTGGCACTGTGCTACAAAGGAAACAAAGATCTGCTAAATAAAGTTTATGGGAGAAAACAGAGAGGAGAGTTTTGGATAGAGGGTGGTAAGGCCTTATCAGAAACCACATTTAAACAGTGTTCTGAAGCATGAGAAGGAGCCAACCCTGTCAAGAGCTAAAAACAGAGCCTCCAAATAGAGGGAACCGCCTGTAAAGAAAGGCTCTCGGTGAAAGAAGGTCAATGAGGCTAGGGATTACACTGCACAAGGCAGAGAGGAATCCGGAGACCACCATTCAGAACTTTACAGGTCACTGATATTGCAACGAAAAGCCACTTTAGCATTTAAAGAAGAGGAATGACATTTATACATAAAAGATGTAGGTTTATAAAAGAAACTTCAATCTTTAAAATGACCGACTTTGGGTGATACGTGACCTAATCAGTGGAGTTAACCTGGACTTACCTGCCTTTTCATAGATGAGGATATTCATTAAGTGAGGAACTGAGGCTCAGAGAGGCTAGATTCATTGCCTAGGTCACACAGTCAAACCCAGCCAGGAGACCAACGCCTGAGCTCTTTCTCTTTGGCCACATTTACCAAGGACCCTGCTTGTATCTTCACTTACCCATTCAGCCCCATTGAGTCAAAAGTGCACTGGACTCACAACCGTCCTCCTGAAACAATAAAACAAACAACGTGTGTGATTTCAAAATATGTCCACAAACTCTTCGCTAAGGAGCCTAATTCTCCCTTCCTTGAGTAACTTAAAGTTTCTTTTGTTTCCCACAGTGAATGTTCCTTATCACTTGAATTCATGCCCGTGTTTGTGGCAAAATTTCTCCATGGGGTCTCACTGTTTGTTTGTTTCTGATAGCTTTATTGCGATATATTTCACATACCATGCAATTCATCCAATTAAAGTGTATTTCACTGTGTTTTAAAAATAATTTTTAAACCAGGAGATTTCAAACCGGTTATAGCTTTAGCCCATAATTAGTGCAATTGATTTTTCTTGAGTCTATTTACCTGATAAACAGTTATCTCATCAGTGTCTCCAATTGGTTCATTCATTTTGCTACCTTACAAGGAGGGGGAGGGAGCTAGGGCCTTGAGCAATTGCTATACAGCTAAGAAAAGAATCTTATGAAACTGTTACCCATTTCTCCTGCCTCTAGACCTCACCTCTAAATCCTGTCCATCTAAGTTCAGTGGGGACTTCTATGTAGAAGTGAGCCAGCTATGGTATTACAAGCTTTCATCAGAGAAAGAAAAAATATATATTTATATAATAAATCATGTATAGTTTCTTTATTAGCCCTGCTATTGTGGCTTCAAAACATAACTGAACTACGTACCCAGCTAACTTTCTTCTTCCTCTGACCTATTAGTAGTTTTCAAGCTTTCTTTCCCTGATTCTCACAACAGTGTGATCCTCCTGGAAAGGAAGGTTGCAACTGATTTTCTTTCAATCTGGTCTAAATTATACTGTGCCTGAAAGACATTCCTTGAAATCTGTGACATGAAAATAGGACTATTTTCTGATTTTCTTAACGCCAGTGGAGTATTCTTTGCTACTTTTGCTTTATTTTATTTCTTCATTAATTTCATATACTATGTTCTTTAGGGGTAGGTAAGGTTGATGAGGGGCTGATGGGTATAATCTACACTTACAATACCTTCTTTCCTGGAAAACTACTTGCTTTGGAACAAATGTCAACCTGGTTTCATCCAGATCTCTCACCCATTAGACTCTGAGCTGAATGACTTTTTGCTGCTTCATAAAATTCGTTACATTCTATTTACTTGCTAAATTATATATACCTTCCAACTTTTACTAAAGTGTAGCTACTCTACAAGGATAAAAATCTGACATCCCTGAGAATACTCAAAAGAAATATGTCACCATTTTTTTCCCAAAAATGTTCTGAGTGATGCTTTTAGAAAAAGTGGCCTCCGGAGGTGATTAAGATAGCAATACTTATTTGGATTTTAAATTATTGTAAGCTTGTTTCAAAATTAGCTTAATCATGCTTACTCCCTTGTACTAATTATACAGACATAAAATATAATGCTTTCAGTTGAATAAATAAAAGGAAAATAAAAACCAAAACCAAACCCACTGCCATTGAGTCAATTCCAACTCATAGCGACCCTATAGTACAGAATAGAACTGCCCCACAGGGTTTCCAAGGAGCAGCTGGTGGATTCAACTGTTGACCTTTTGGCTAGCAGTTGAGTTCTTAACCACTGCGCCACAAACAGTACTTGTCTAAAAGGCTTAAAGAGGGAAAAAAAAAAAAGAGAGAGAGAGAGAAAGTGGAGTGATGGCCTAAGTAAATCATATCTTTTTTTTTGATTTTCAAGATAATTTCATCCAAACCATCATGTATCAAGAAACAAACTCATTAATGGCAAGGTTGCAACACAAATGCTGAGGACTAGATACAGAATGTAAGCTAGTGAAGGAGGCTGGGAAGATGTATGGTGGTGGAGTGAATAGTGGGTGTCCCATCTAAAGGGCACAGCTGTATAACTCAGACCCTGCTGAGTTTTGCCACATAACAATACAGGCTTAATGTCACTATCTCAACGATTGTTCAGGAGTTGCTAAACGCTGGATTTTTAATAAAATCTCTCCATTTTTATATGTTGGCAGTTAAGTTTTAAAAATTTTAAACACTGTGCAAGTCACCAGTTTGCAATCTCTGGTCTAAAGTTTTTAACAATGATGAGAACTCACAAAACAAGAAAAAACTACCCTCTTCAAAATAAAAAGTATCTTGCTCACCCCAGCAATAAAAACAAGACCTTAGTATTAAAAGTGAGAGTTTGACATAATTGCAATGCTGTCTACAGAGAAGTTCAGAATGTTATGATCAGTATTGTTGTTGTTGTTAGGTGCCGTCGAGTCAGTTAGGGCTCATAGCAACCCTATGTACAACAGAAACACTGCCCGGTCCTGCGCCATTCTTACAATTATTTCTATGCCTGAGCCCATCGTTGCAGGCACTGTGTCACTCTATCTCATTGAGGATCTTCCTCTTTTTCACTGACTCTCTACTTTACGAGCATGATGTCCTTTCCCAGGGATTGGTCCCTCCTGATAACATGTCCAAAGTATGTCAGACAAAGTCTTGCCATCCTTGCTTCTAAGGAGCATTCTGGCTGTACTTCTTCCAAGAGAGACCTGTTCGTTTTTCTGGCAGTCCATGGTATATTCAGTATTCTTCACCAACACCATAATTCAAAGGCATCAATTCTTCCTCAGTCTTCCTTATTCATTGTCCAGATTTCACATGCATATGAGGTGACTGAAAATACTCTGGCTTCGGTCAGGTGGACCTTAGTCCTCAAAGTGATATCTTTGCTTTTTAACACTTTAAAGAAATCTTTTGCAGATTTGCCCGATGGAATATGTCGTTTGATTTCCTGACTGCTGCTTCCAAGAGCAGTGATTGTGGATCCAAGTAAAATGAAATCCTTGACAACCTCAATTTTTTCTCCGTTTATCATGATGTTGCTTATTGGTCCAGCTGTGAGGATTTTTGTTTTCTTTATGTTGAGGTGTAATCCATACTGAAGGCTGTGGTCTTTGATTTCCACCAGTAAGTGCTTCAAGTCCTCTTTGCTTTCAGCAAGCAAGGCTGTGTCATCTGCGTATCACAGGTTGTTAGTACTGTTAACCAGACCTAATTTCCTTAATTGTACTCCTTAAGCAGATAAAATTCAATTCATTTCTGTTTCTTGTTTAAGGAAAAATTCCCATTTCTCAATTTCAAATCCAAATAAGAACACTTTAATGTATAATTCTATGGAAATGAAAAACATTCAAAATAAAAGCATAACGAATACTGAGATAATGCAAACACCTACATTACAAACAGCTGAGTTTATAAAGGAACAAGGCTAGTATATAATATTACCACAGCCCAGGGGCTACTGGCTGATGATGAATATAGCTGCTTCTGATATTGAGCTAGGTTAAAGCCACAGATACTGCAAATTTCTATTCATTTAAAGATGTCTAGTCAAAGAGCTAACACTAATATTGGCAAAGTCTTCCCATTATAAAATGATCATATCAGTAAGCTTTCCTTGAGCAAGCAAGGCAGTGAGTGAGGTGGTGTGGAAGGAGGGGAGTAGGGGTTGTAATGATCTGGGACATAAAGACTGAATTCTTTTCCTATACTTCCCAGTAAATTATTGATAAGTTACTATATAAGGCAGTAACAGATCTCACAAGAGCGTATGCTATGCCCTAATTAAATCTTATGTAACATTACATTTTGTTATATTTTTATTCCTTTTTCTCCACTAAACTATGCTAAGTAGTAAACATCTTTCACCTTCTGAAATCCTTATTCTATAATACGTTTTTCTCCTCTCCTGGATCATAAACGTTCATTATGACCCGAACGTTCCTATCTTCAGGTTTCTTATTCCTGGTTTTATGTAGTTCTTTACTGCAGATACTGTGCTCTCACTTCGTACATGCAAACCAAGTTTCTAAATTCAGCTACTCCAAAGTTTAAGACAGGGCTCCTTTAATCATGGCGACATAAAATGCACTACACTTTTATCTTCCTCTTGCTTTTGTCATGAATGAGTCATCCCTGTTCCACTGTGTGGTATTTACTGATAACTTAAAGGGCTACTGTTTTAACTCTACTACATTATTGAGTACAAGTATTGCTCTATTTTAACTTTTGTTCAGTCTCAAAGAATTATTTATTAATCGTTGACTACACTTAAACATATAAGCAATCTCACCCTTTGATTAGAACGTTTAAAGTTATATTTACTCCCCCACTTCCTTCAAAGGGCCATTATCTGCTTATCCTCTCACTTTATAGCTTACACAGAAAAGCAAAAGGAATAAAGTCCTTCTAGCATTCTTAATGCAAAGCCACTTTTTTACTCAGCAAATCACGTTAATTCTCTGCATACACTTCACAATACATAATGAAAAACTCAAAGTAGTTCATTTTTTAAATAAAAAGTTCACTTTGGTAAGTCATCTCTTATACTGTGTAACATGACAACTATAACATCTAAAATTTATTGGGCCCTATATGCCAGGTACTCTTCAAATGCTTTAAATATAATAATTCATTAAATCCCCCATAACCCTTTGAAATAGTAATATTTTTACTATCATTGTCGTTACACAGATGAGGAAAGCAAGTCAGATGCCTAAGATCACAAAACTAGGAAGCAGCAGAGACAGGTTATTCAGGCAGTGTGGCTCAAGAGCATATGACCTATACCACTGTGCTTTTACAAACATTATACTGATTACTAGAGTCCCTGGGTGGTGCAAAGAGTTAAGGCCCTTGGCTGCTAACCCAAAGGTTGGAGGTTCAAGTGCACCCAGAGGCACCTCAGAAGAAAGGTGTGGTGATCTATTTCCAAAAAATCAGCCACTGAAAACGCTATCAAGAACAGTTCTCTGACATACACGGGTCGCATTGAGTCAGAATTGACTCGACGGCAACTGGTTTATACTGATAATCGAGACCTATAGGAAGAGAAACAAATGGTCACCCTAAAACAGCATAATCTTGTAGTTTAAGATTATAAATTAAGTAACCGCATTCAATTTCTTCAGTGTTTCTTCTTTAAGATTTACTCTTCACTGTGCAATAAATGCAGATTATCACAAGAAAATGTATTATTTTAGGAAATAGTACATTTTCATGTATATTTAAGTTTTGTCAATAGGATGCTGGTGAATTAATATGTAAGGTAAAATTCATTATATTGCCCAATGGTCTATAATGTGTGTTAGGTACGGTAGCTTTTGAATATATAAAAGCATCTAAACCAATGAGAATTTTTAATGATATAATATAGGACTCTCTTGGTCCTTTCAATTTTTGTGACATTTGGAACGGTGGACACTGGTTTTCCTATAATCATCTTCTACAGCCAAGTAGTAATAAAACAAAAGCATTTATTTCATGGGACAACATGAATCCAAGTGGTCTTCAATGATACTTTACTGTCACTGGGATATGGCTATAGTTACGTTATCCCAGTCTCACTGGGATATGGCTATAGTTATGTTATCCCAGTCAGAAACAGCATAGCAGGCTTCTGTTTGAATTCTACAAGTGTATATGTTCAGCTTCAACCTTCATCTCTCATTATTTACAGTAAACGTACCTTTGAATCCCATCAATTGGAGTTGGTAGATGTGGGGAGCTCGAGCCTTAACACAATGCATATATCCTGACAGCTGTTAGTACTGCATTATTTTCACATCATAATGAGTTTCCTCACACCAAGAAAAACTCTATAGTCCTAAAATCATAAAGGATGATCTATTTCTGTGACAAATTAATTAAAATTGGAGAGAACGAGATTCATAACCACTTTAAATAAAAGTTTTGAAACCACAATTAATTATACATACCTTTAACTGTCATAACCTTAACTAGGTTTTAATTCGCATCTCTGAACCTTTACAGTAATAATAGCAACCACTTTTTGAGTGCCTACTGTATACCAGGTACTATACTATACAAGACACTTCACATGTGTTATGTAGTTTAAAACTATCCTATAGGATATGTATTATTATTCTCACTTTACCAATAGGACAAACAAGGCTTAGATACGTTAAGTCATTTGTGCAGTGGTTAAGAGATTGGCTGCTAACCAAAAGGTCGGCAGTTCAAATCCACCAGCCACTCCCTGGAAACCCTATGGGGCAGTTCTACTCTGTCCTACAGGGTCGCTAAGAGTTGGAATTGACTTGACAGCAACAAGTTGCATTTGGTTTTGGGTTATTCAGCTAACAAACGGTAGAGAGAATTCAAACTCAGACTTGGTGATTCCAAAGCTCTTATACACATCGTGTCATGTCTCATCATGTCACATCACACCTCACCTCATTCAACATGAATGAGAACAGATGCATCTCAGTTTTCAGTTATTTTTACTGTTTTTTTTTTTTGATACTTACAACCTGTGTTTTATTGACTATGCAAGGATATTCAACTGTATGGATAATAACAAATTACGGATAACAATGCAAATGGGAATTCCAGAACACTTAATTGTGCTCATGCAGAACCTATACAGAGACCAAGAGGCAGGCGTTCAAACAGAGTTTTCCTGTGTTTTAAGATACAGATTGCAAAAAGCAAATATTTTTAATATGACCATGAAAACAAAGATTTTGCTTTTATATATTTTTTA